ATGCAAGCCTCCTGTCTGCCTCCAGTATGGATAGACCTTCCTCAATCTTGCCAAAGAATGGCCTTCAAAAACTCCTTGGCGTTGGGAAGTATTTCTGCCTTTTAAAATTTGCCTTTTTACTAGATTCTTGAGGTGAAAGTTTAGATAATTTTTAACCTTTTCTGACTCATTTAAAGATACATATTTGCTCTATGTACTCTTTCAGCTTTATTTCATGAATTAAAAAAAATCTTACCCTAGTCAGTTTGGCTCGGTGGATAGAGCATCGGCCTGCGGACTGAAGGGTCCCAGGTTCTATTACGGTCAAGGGTACATGCCCAGGTTGCAAGCTCGATCCCCATTGGGGATGTCCAGGAGGCAGCCGATCAATGATTCTCTCATCATTGATGTTTCTATCTCTCTCTCCCTCTTCCTTCCTCTCTGAAATCAATGAAAACAATACATATATTTTAAAAATAAATAAATTTTATTGTTGAAAGTATTATATAAGTCCTCCCCTCCCCATTAACCTTTTCCAGCTGGCTCTTGTTCCCCCACCCATCCCCCAGGGCCTCACCACCCCATCGTCTGTGTCCATGGGTTATGCATATATGCATAACAAGTTCATTGGTTGATCTCTTCCCACCTACCCTCTCCTGCCTTCCCTCTGAGGTTCAACAGTTTGTTCATACTTCTATGTCTCTGGGTCTGTTTTTGATCATCAGTTTATCTGGTTCAGTAGATTCCACATATGAGTGAGATCATGTGGTACTTATCTTTTTCTGACTGGTTTATTTCACTCAGCCCACTACATGGAAGAACATATTTGCCAATGATACATCTAATAAGGGGTTAATCTCCAAAATATATAGGAAACTCATACAATTTAATAAAATAAAGACAAACAATCCAATTAAAAATGGGCAAAGGACCTAAATAGACACTTCTCCAAAGTGGACATACAGAAAGCCTAGAGACATTTTAAAAATGCTCAAAGTCACTAATCATCTGAGACATGCAAATCAAAATGACAATGAGATACCACCTCACACCTGTCAGAATGGCTATCATCATCAAATCAACAAACAACAAGTGTTGCAGAGGTTGTAGAGAAAAGGGAACCCTAGTACACTGCTGGTGGGAATGCAGACTGGTGCAGCCACTGTGGAAAATAGTATGACCCAGGGGTGAATGCCTTCTTTATTTTTAACTTATTGGGAGTAACATCTATAGACATAAAAGCCTAATATGCAAAGTGTCCCCTCGGGTGTTCAACCGACCCAGAGTTTGCTCGCTCGCTATGATGTGCGCTGACCACCAGGGGGCGGCACAGAATAAAGGAAGGCCTTGGCCGGCATCCGGCATCCAGGAAAGGGAAGCTCCAGCCGGCAGCCAACAGCCAGCAGCCACTAGGGACCCTACCTATGCATGAATTTGTGCACTGGGCCTCTAGTTGATTAATAAGATCATATAAGTTTCAAGTGTACATTTCTATGATACATGATCTGTATACTGCATTGTGTGCCTATCACCCAAAGTCCAGTCATTATATATCACCGTATATTTGGGCTCCTTTACCCTTTACTTCCCAGCACCATCTCTTCCCTCTGGTAACCACCACACTGTTGTCTGTGTCTATGGGTTTCAGTTTTATATCCCACATATGAGTGAAATCATATGGTTCTTAGCTCTTTCTGACTGACTTATTTCACTTAGCATGGTATTCTCAAGATCCATTCACATTGTTGTAAATGGTGTTATCTCATCTTTGTTATGGCTGAGTAGTATTCCACTGTATATGTTACCACATGTTCTTTAGGCAATCAGCTGATGAAGGACACTTTGGTTATTTCGATGTCTTGGCCACCATGAATAATGCTGAAATGAACATGGGAGCATATATCTTTGCAAATAAATGTTTTCAGGTTTTTTTTAGGTAGATACCCAAAAGAGGGATTTCTGGGTCATATGGTAGCTCTATTCTTAATTTTTTGAGGAACCTCCATACTGTTTTCCTTACAAGCAGTACCAACTTACTTTCCTACCAGCATTGAATAAGGGTTGCTTTATCAATGAGTGTCCTCTTATTTTAGGCCTATATTGTCCAATATGGTAGCCATTACCAAATATGGCCATTAAGCACTTGAAAAGTGGCTAGTCTGATTGAGACTAGTATCAAATACACATCACATTTTGAAAACTTAGTACAAAAAAGAAGGTAAGATGTCAGTAATGTTTTGCATTGATTACATGATGAAATATTTTATTTTTTCATTTCATTTATTTTTATTCTTTAACGTAGCTGTTAGAAAACTTAACACTGAATCCGTGGCTTCTATTATGTACCTATATAACAGGATTAATTTATACCCTAGATGACTGACAATATCATCTATTATTAATTCTGATTACAACTTCATTTTCAGGGCACAAAAAAGTGAGGTTCCTCTAGCTATTCAGAGAAGTATTACAAAGTAAATAGATTATAAAAATTCTAATGATAAAGTGTATGTGTAAAGACAATATCACTGCCTTGTCTCTTGAGTCTTAAAATACAATCTCTCGTAGGAATGCCCAAGCTTTGGGTCCCACGCTCTTCTAGAGACAATGTGTCAAGTGTATCTTCCCTAAAGTAAGCATTTTTCTTAAAAATATATTTTATTGATTTTTTACAGAGAGGAAGGAAGAGGGATAGAGAGTTAGAAACAGCGATGAGAGAGAATCATCAATCAGCTGCCTCCTGCACACTCCCCACTGGGGATGTTGCCCGCAACCAAGATACATGCCCTTGACCAGAATTGAACCTGGAATCCTTGACTCCGAAGGCTGACGCTCTATCCACTGAGCCAAACCGTTAAGGCTAAAGTAAGCATTTTTATATATGAGTGTGTGTGTGTGTGTGTGTGTGTGTGTGTGTGCTTGTAACTAAGAGATTTGCCTGCTAATGAGAAGTTTCACAAGGTTCCTGAGCATATTCTACTCAGTTATTCTTTATCTATTAGAAACAAATGTATAGGATATTCTCTAAGGCAGAATAGAGTCTTAAATCTGCCATTATCCAAGGCAAAATAAACACAAGCTGGTGTTGTTTGGCATATAAATCCAGAACAGGTGAGATGTTAAGAACCCTAGGCTGACAGACAAAGGGGCATTTATAATATAGAGATCACCATTTATCACATTTAAACTGGTTGCTGTTTAATATATTTGCTTTGTTGCTAGCTTTAATTTCCAACTCTTTGACTTCTCCATCTGTGTTAACTCTCTACATAGTATTCAGAATAAAATTTCCTATTTTAGCATGATCTAGTATACACTAATAAGGTAGGTGTCAGTTCACCCCATCCTAGTAGATCTAGGTCTAAGACTGATACTCCTGCCTCTCATAAGTTTTGATCCCAAAATGGTATATTTTATTATGTTCATTAATTCTTTCCTCTGTATTCTCGATTCTACTTTCAAACTCATCCAGTGAATTTTTTAAAATTTATTTTGCTAATATATTTTTCCAATTCAAAAATTTCCGTTTAGTTCTAATTGCAGCTTTTATTTCTTTGCTGAGACTTTCTATTTCTTCAGTTGGTTTCAAGTGGTTCTTAATTTCCCATTGAAGCTCTTTACACTAGCTTTCTTAAAATCTTCATCAGATTAATTCCCACATCTCTCCACGTCATCTTGTGGCAGTTTATTGTCTTTTCTCATTCAGTTCAAGATTTTCTTGTATTTGGTTTGACACTTGGATTTTACTTTATGAGACTCTTAAGTTTCCTCCAGCACCTCCAATGGCATTGTGGGTAGGTAAGAAACTTCCATCTTCCCACTTGGGTCTTCTCTGAGACCTCCCTGATACTTTGGGGAGAGTGGTTTCTTGTTATAGCCAGCAGGGTGGAAGTCTAGGCTCTCTACCCTGCCTGTGCTGATGGGGTTGTGTTTTTTCCTGTGGCTCGTAGGGAAATTGTCAGTTTACTGTCTTGTTAGATTGCTCCTGCTGTGATCCTTTGGCTAGGGAAAGGAGGCTTTTCTTGGAGATTATGATGATTTTTTGTCTGCTCCTGTTGATTTTTCTAAGTCACTGGCTCCTCTAGCACCCAGCCTGGGATATATGAGGCAAAGGGAAACTCAAGGAGCTCACTGCCATTTTGTGACATAAAGAAGTAAAAACGAGGGCCTGCTTGATTACAGTGTGGCAATAATAATGGGATATTAAATGAGGTTTTTTTGAAGTGCCTATATTTGAACAGGGATTGTATGGGGTTTCCTGCATGCAATAGCTGTCCAATCATGGCATATCCAACACTCCAATTTAGAAAAGTCCCAATGTTTGCAACGGTTTTTGCAAATATGTGCATTTTGCCCGTTTGGCCGGTCTGAAAATATAATAGGTGGAAAATTGTCTGCTCTGAGTAATTTGGCATTTTTTTATCTTTATTCCTCCTTCTCGCTGTAACTAGAAATTACTTCAAAAATCATGGGCCTAAGTAAACGATACAAACAAGCCTCAATAAGCACCACCCCAATCTGAGAATTAAAAATCACCCCGCCTTTCCTTCCTTAACAATACACTGAATGTGAATGAATGTTGTCGGTCTTCCCTGAGCCCTCACCTGCCCACCGGCTTTATGCCAGCTCACCGCCAAAGCAGCTCGCCCAGGTTTTCTTTAAAATTATATATATATTATTGCTGATAGCATTACAGGTATCTCCCATTTCCTATTCCCTCCCTCCCTCTTTCCCGCCTTCCTCTCACCAACCTCCCCTCGGCCCCC